GTCGGGGCGGGGTCGAATCGAGACGCAGCGCGCGAGAGTTTCGGAACGTGGGAAGTTCACGATTATTTTTCTCTTTCCTTCTTTTTCTCTTCTTCTTTTTTCTCTATCTCCGACTGTTCCTCCTTCACCGTGGACAAGGAGGAGATATACGAGTCGGGTAGGAAGATCGGGCGGGTGAGTCACCTATAAAGGAGTGGTGACTCGCCCCACGATCGGTGTGATCGGCGGCTCTCCGATCTCGTGTTCTCTCGGCAGTGGAGCCAGACTTGTTAACCGTCAAAACGAATGACGTCCCGACGTTTTACAAGACGTGCACGAGTTCTCTTCCTTCATGGACGACGGTGCGAGTCGATCGCTTGGAAAACGTTCGATCGTACGAGTTTGGAGAATCCGGTCACTAGACGAAGAATCGGAAGGTTGATACGGTTATCTCGTTTTATTATGAAGCGGTAATTCGGCTTCGAATTTGGAAAATTTGATAAAAGGTATATATATATTTCGTTGGATGTAAGAAAGAGATAAGCAATCTTCGTCAAAAAGAAGATATATGTGACGAAATGTGTTAATATTTTGATTAACATGATAAAGTTCTCTTTTTTTTCTTTTAAATTGTATGTATGGATACATAATAATCTGAAATGGAAAAGGGATCAGGGGATCGTACTAACGAAAAAATATATTTTTAATAATAAAATTCAACAGATTGCCTAATATAATTAACGAATAAATAGGAAGAGTTATAGGTATTCGAACTTCGAATAATCTAAAATATCGATTTGTTTCATTAGATATACACGTCCCTGACCCATGCGCGATGGCTCGCTGCCGGGCGTCAAACGTTTAGCAAACGATCGCGTGAGGATAATGGGCCGTAGCCCAGTTAGACGGCCATGGAAAACGAAACGGGATGAGTCGTGTGAACCGATCCCCCGATTAAGTAAACCTCATAGTGACATTTAACCAGTATCTGTCTCTAGCTTCCAGGTCATCCTCAGACTCGAGACCCGGAGGACGCGATTGCGATCGACGACGATCGACCGTTTCTTCCGACCAGAGCTCCACACCAAGCATTAATCGTACTTGAATGTCACGAGAATTATATTACTCCCGCGTCTGTCGATAAAGAATCACGACGAGATAATGACCGAGCGAAGTGACGGGGCACCGTGGGCTTCGAGGCTTGGTTACGAGGAATTCATATAATTAGCCTAAGAAAAGGCGCAGGTGGTAAAGCGATTTATGAAATGAAATTGCAAAATTCCTCAGCCAATTCATTTTTCAAACGCGAAACATTCTCCCCTCCCCAAGCGTCATCAAACAAGACGATCTCCTCCGCCATACCTCGCAACCATTCTTGCTACTCACCTCACAAAGCTGCCAGACGGGAGGGAGACGAGACGAGAACGCGTTTCGCGTGTCTAAAACTCCGACTTTATTTCTCACGACTTTGCCGGTCGAGGGTGATGGCCGGCAATTTTCCCGCGAGAAATCCGGTAAATCGCCGGCGTCGATGCGGCCGATCTTGGGCCGATACCTTTGAGCGTGAACCGGTAGTGGGTGCAGAGATGGGTGGACACGGCGAGGCGCGATTAGCCGGCCCCGATACGGCTATCTACAGGAGCACAAGGGATCGGGACGGTTGCACAGAGTTTCGCGCGCCTCGAATTCTTTCAGGTTTGCGCCTCTTATTCCGCGCTGCTTCCGATTCCAAGCGGCAGATAGGGCGAGAAAAAAAATCGATTCGCCCGTAAAAATCGGCCGGGTCGAGTGCGCGCGCAGGATAGAGCGCGAGCTCTAGCGGTGGCGTCGGTTAATTAACGCGCATGCGCCTACCACCTCGGCAACAACCTCGCCAAGATCGCGAGATGCGATAGCGGTTGGAACGGGACCCTCTTTCTCCACTTTCCACCCGGTTCTTCCCCGTTTCACGCGCTCGTTTTTTCCAGCCGGGCCGCGAGCCGCCCGATCGATGCCGGCACCGTCCCTTGCATCGATAAATTTCGGAATTGGCGCCTCCGTCGACCCGGGCCCACCTAATTAAGCGGTTCGCCCCGTAATTACAGCCAATTAACGTCAAACTCGGCCGACGAGACCGCTATCGCGCGAAGATTGCGCGCCCTTACGGCCACGTTAACGTGGTGTATCCGACCACGGAGCACGCTAAAGCACGCGACGCTCCTCGTCATTTTTGCTGCACGGGAACTGGCGAGAGGTGTTGCTTGGCCGAGCGATAAGGGATCTGAGAGAGTGTTGGGATTCGAGATGTAGCCTCTACAACATGATTTAAGACGATGATAAAGATTGATAATAAATATTTCGGGGCGGAATTGATGGTTGACGCTCTCTTGGCTGCTTGCAGTCACAATGTTGCGGGTATCGGATACCGTTCCATCAATTTCAGCTTGAAACATTTATCGAGGGTTTATCAAGGGTTTGAATCATGTCAAGCGAGCTGCCTCTGAAGCGGACATCGATCGATCGATCAAGCATCAGGGTAATATTAGATTGTTTCCGATTTCGCGATGAGTCGTATTTCTTTTTCTTAATTTGTTAAGAGATACTTTAAAGATTAATTTCCATCTTTTTATCTCCGCGTACGGGTAATCCAAATCCTGTAACTGTTTAATTTGTCAACGCTCGATCCACCGGTTCTCCATCAATCCTGAAAATTCCCCACCCCAAGTTTAAACAAGGACATTAGCATCGGAGCGCGTTTCGCTCAAGAATCACTTAGACCCCTAATGAGCTCGGTGAGCGTGCATAGCGTACACCGCTCGCCGGTGGAAAAGGTTAAAATCCATCAGCGAGCTCGCACCTCGTGGTACCCGGAGGCCTCAATTAAACGAGTTAAATCCCCGAGAGATCTCGCTACGCAAGAAGCTCGAGCCAGCGTGACGAGAGTCGGTACACCGGCCGCGCTCGATTATTCAGACACCCTAATGAACCGCGGGACGATTTCGACGGGCGTTCTCAGCCGTGGCCTTAATATCGGTCCTCCCGGCCGAGGACGTTACATAAGCCCGCGCTTCTCGCATACAAACTCGAGGAATCCGTCTATGTGTGCGTGCACGTGTGTTCGCGAAGACGTGACCACGATGAGCACGGTGCTGGGACCGTGCTCGTGAGCCGTGGGCAGGCGTATGGCTCAGAAAAATCCCATTAATTGCTTCTATGGTGATAAATTTCCCCCTGGCGGTGCACGATTCCTCTCCGTCTCCCTCCTCTCTCGTTCTCCCCCCGAGAGGTAGCTCCTCTTCTCGGCCAGGACTCGCCTCTCCAGAGACCGTATCGGCCGTCTATGTTAATTTTCAGTTTAATAAGGTACACCAGGAAGTGACACCGGGGCCTGTTGCCGTGTCGTCGGGGAACGCGGCAGGCGAATGCCAGGTGAAAATGTCGCGGCGGGAGTGACATTTCAATTAATGTGTACCTGCTGCCGCGTGCGTGGGAAGGGACACGGTGGCGTGTGTGCTTCTCTTCTCTCAGAAGAGGGAAGAAGTGGTTGCAGGTGCAGGGAAAAATTCGAGGATCGCGGGTTGGGTGCAGGTTAACGCTCACGTTCGATCGGAGAAATCGTGATGGATGATCGTAGTTTGGAGAGAAGCGGTTCGTTAAATGGGATTATTGTTGATCGAAACTCGGATGGATTTGGTTGAACAAAGGATTACTTATATTCAAATTTTACGTATTCTTTTGAAAATTCTAAGACTCTTCGAGTATAGGATTTTACATCGGATCGTCTCTTTCACGGTTTAAAAATAAAGTACTTTCTTAATACAAATGTAATAAAAAGTTTTAAACGAGAACGTACTTTTTAATACTACAGTGCGTTATTTAAAATTTTGATAAAATATGTATTTCATGGTAATCGATCTGCCTAGAATTCCAAATGATTCCTCTTACGTAGAAATTCTACGTAATGCGGTTACGAATAGAACCAGTTTTCGGTACCTGGAACACTTTTCGAAATTTTTATCTCGCTAATTCTCTCGTCGCATTCTCGGAAATATAATGATTCATTAACCAGTTTGTTTTCAATATACATTTTTCAATTTTAATATTCAACGATAAAGCTACAGAGGAAACTTGTGGAATCTACAATTCTCATATATTTATTACGAAATATCGATTGCTCGAGATAATTCGTGCGTGCAATCAAACACATTTGAAAACAAATATTGAAATAATGATGTATGAAGTAAAATTCAAAAGGTATTAACATCGATATCTCTGAAATTTCCTCCACAGAATTTTTACAGACCGGTGAATAAATCTACGAATCTCCAACACCTCTGGAGACTCGTTCAAAGGGCAAAAAACGTGCAGCTCCTCCCAGCAAAAGCAAACGTTCGCATTCAATTTTCAATTTGCGGCATAAGAATGCATCGCGTTCCCTCGTCGTAATAATATCTGTGTCGCTCGATAATAAATGGCAAGCGCCATCGCGTTCGTCGCGCATTCGAGCACGTCAAATGATTATAAGAGCGGGACGAGGGGGAAGAAAAGTCCAGATGAATCATCGTGTACCGTGGAATGCCCTCCTTCCTTTTTGCGCTCGAGAGTGCTCGAGCACGCTCGAACACGAGCGTGGTAATGAGCGACGACGCGGGCAATAACGCAGGCGATAACTATTAACCAGATTGTTCGGTTAACGACGAAGGCGATGAGAAGCGTACGCGAATCACGTCGATTGAAACGAGCCGCTTTCGTTATCAAGGACACCGACGAGAAGCAGTGCAATTCTAATCCGTTTGTAGCACCGAGCCGAATAATAAAGGACGATCGGGATGAAATTATCTCGCTCCCGGACCGAGAGACGCTTCATTTGGTAACCTCGTGAATGGGAAATCGAGGCAACAGGGAAACATTACGCCTCTTTTCAACGTTGCGTCTGACTTCATCATTCTACGCTGCTACTGTGTAAGTTGTGTTTGTGTTTCTGTATTTTCATTTTTTCTCTTTTTTTTCTTTTCTTTTCTTTTCTTTTTCTTTTCGTTTTCTCGTTAAGCGAGTCGGATTGAGGAAGGGGGAGGGATAAAATAAAATCCCGCGTTGCGCAAGATTTGACGAGGGTTTATTATCGTTATGAGTGCGCGTTCTTAGGTTGTAGAAATGTCAGGTTTGTGTTCCATATTTCTTTTATACGGAGGGGAATACGTTCGCTGGACTCGAAGAGAGATGGATCTTCGAGCACGTTAGAGATTGATCGATCTTGAGATTGATTTAGTCGAGATTAATTTGGATAGATTAGATAGTTATCGAAGCTGCAACCAATCTTATAATGCTTCGCGTCTTGTAATTTAATATGTTGAGCTCGAAGAAAAGAAACAAGAATTCAACTTCTTAATAAAAGTATTCTCCTACGATTCTTGCGCGATCAGAATTCTATGAATCATTTTTCTGTACACTTTATTTTTAACAGGTTTTCAGTCCATTTGTCAATAACTTTATCTTGTTAAAAATCTAGATCCAAGATATAAGTCGTACATCTTGCATATAATTAATTAACAGCCTCTTTCATTGAAATCAAAATTTCAATTTTTCACAAAATCTTATAGATCAACTTTTAAAATTCAAACAAAAAATTCTTTGACATCCTATTCCCTTCCATAAAGATTTATAACTGTTATAATAACAGACTACATATACACTTACTAATTTTCCAGATACCGTCCCATATACCAGCCAGCCTCTAGGAACTGGATCAAGGCCAACTCTTACACAAATCTCCCACCGAAATTCGACTAAATCGTCCCTCCGCTTTCTCCTCGGCTCACCATGGAAACCCACCGCTACGAAAAAGGAGGAACGAAAAGAAGGAAGAGAAATTCCACGAAGTGGCAAAGGTAGAAACGAGTCCTCGCCGTCCAGTTGCCCGCCGTTTAAACGATCTCTTAATTACTCGGACACGATTGAAAACGATCTCGCGAGCATCCTTTACGGGCCGACACCCGTGTACCTCGTAGACGAGAGGGGAAAGAACAAGTGGACAGGGGTCCAATTTCGGCGAAGCAGCAATTACAAGGAGAACGTCGCCGGCCAATTGGCCCCCTTTTCTTCATTTTCTCTGCCCCCTATTCGACCGCCATCTCGTCCACCATCTTATCGTGATTATCGCGACCATCGACACGAGTGTGGTATACATCTCTGCTTTCAGTGTGACGCAAGGCCAAGAGTCGTTTCGGCCCAGCTTTCCATCTCGACGCTTCTTCGTCCCGGAGGCGTTCTATCGGCCCGTCACGGTTCTCACGATCTCGATCGCGCCGAAAATGGCGAGCGTTGGCCCCACGAAAAAAATCAATTAATCTCAATCGAGGCGACCGTGCGCGCGCGGAAGGGTAATTTCCAATTTGTCGCGGCCCCGAAACCACGAGCGAGGCCCCCGGGTGTGAGAACGTGGTGGGAGAAAGCCTCCGGTGATCCCGCGCGACCGGAGAAAGTATTTTTTCTCCCGGATAAGAACATCGCGGGCCGCATTGTGACGAACGACGAACAAGTGGTTAAGTGTTCTTCGAAGAATTTGGAACAATTTTTTTCAAAAAGTTGAATCTTCGTTTTTTGTAATATTGTAATAAAATGTGTAATGTAATATTGTAATATGTAATGAATATATATGAAATAAAGAAAATAAAAAAAGGAAATCAATGTAGTTTCATTGTAGTTGTAGAATGATCAGTTTTATTTTTAAGTTTTTTAAGTTTTTTTTATATTGGAACAAATAAATATCATCAAGTGAATACGGCAGCAAGGAAGAACCAGTTCGAGAACCACTGCGTTATTGGGATCCTGCTGATGGGACTAATTAATCATACATTGGTTATTTTTAATTTTCGGATAAAGCTTTCGGGTGAATTAAATAAAATTAACATTCGTTCTTGTATTCCTCGTTTTGTTCGAATTTAAACATTTTAATTAAATAAAAATTAAAAAATGGATAAAAACGCATAAAAAATGGCAGCGTTCATAACATAAGGTAAGTATACAAAAAATGAAGATACAGATTAACGTAAATTGCGAAAAGAAAATTTTAAAACTCTAAAAAAAATAACAGAATTAAAAAAACAGTAAAAAATTAAACACGGGAAGAGTAAATAAATGATAAAAATAAAAAAATCGCAATAAAATAAATTCTACACAAAAGGATATTGGACAAATATTTCCTTCACTTGAATAACAAGTGAGAAAAAAATTTCACGAATCTGACATTATTTCTACGAATTTTAAAAATTCCGAGAATTCGACGTCATTTCCAAGAATTTCTGGGATTCCAAGAATTTGACGTCATTTCTTGGAAAAATTTCTCGATCGACCTCCTATCGTATCATATTCTCCTAATACAAAGTCGAATTTTCGTAGCCGAAAGTTTCGTTCGTTCGAAATTTCCAAGAATTTGACGTCAGTTCCAAGAAGTTTAGGAATTCTCGGAAGTTGACGTAAGTTCCAAGAATTCTAGACGTTCCGAGAATTTGACGTCAATTCTCGGAAAAATTTTTCGATCGACCTCCTATCATATCATGTTCTCCTAATACAAAATCGCACTGAGTCGGAGA